CCGAATCTCACATGGCAGACTATGGTTTGAATCCTGGCCCCAGTGGCTTGAAAAATACACAGACGTGTGTGTGCATGCCCATAATCTTGACAGGAAGGAGAAATGGAGGAAAAAGGATTATGGAGTGACCATGCCCCATGAGAGACGCCTTTTCTCAATCTCTCTCTCTCTGGTGGGTGCACACACCTTCTAGCAATTAAAAAAATGGGGGTCCAGCAGCAGGTGGTTGAGATGCTGGACTCCCACATAGCTGACTGTGGTTTGAGTCCTGGACCCGGCGGCTTGCTTTCTCACTTCTCCCCTCTCTCTCTGTGTCTTTCTCTGATCAAATTAAAATCATAATAATCAATAAAACTAAATAAATGATTTAGAAAAATGAAATTTATCTACAATACAAAATTAGCACTGTAGCACATACACCTTTTGCAAATGTTTCCTGGTTCTCTTCTAGTCTTTGTGTAAATAACACTAAGGCTAGGAGGTGTACAACATGTTATATTTATCCCCTCTTTCTTTATTTTATTATTTTTGTTTTTGGATTTTGCCATAGAGCACATGTGCTTGTCCGAGACAGAGAAAGGGAAAGTGAGAAATCACTCCCTGGGGGGATGGCTTCGCCTACATCCCTTCTTCCGCGAGAAATCACTCCCTGGGGGGATGGCTACGCCTACATCCCTTCTCCTGCGTCTTCTCTTGGGATTTTTGGGCATGCACGCACATGTGCCGAGTGATATGTAAGCTGCTAGGTCCCAGACTCAACTCGCACTCAGCCATGTGGGAGTCTAGTGCCTTAACTACCACACCAACTTTTTGATCTGAGAAGAGACTACATTGAATTTATGGCTGTTAAAAATTGTAATTTTGCAAAAAAAAAAAAAAATTGTGACTTTGTAAATCTCTCATGTACTGGGGCAAGAAACAGGCTTTGCATTTGCTAACATTACATTTCTCAAATTAGATGCTGATGGAAAGTTAAGTGTGAAATTCGGGGTCCTCTTCCGAGATGACAGATGTGCCAACCTCTTTGAAGCATTGGTGGGAACCCTCAAAGCTGCCAAACGAAGGAAGATCGTTACGTACACCGGGGAACTACTTTTGCAAGGTGTTCACGATGATGTTGACATTATTTTGCTGCAAGATTAATGTGGCTCTCATATCTTTGTGTATTGCTATTTTTTGTTTCTGGTAAACTGGAATGTTAAATCAAAAGACAAACATATGAGCATACTTAATGTATTTTTATATAACTTTGTAAACAAAAGGAGACTCAAATTTTAGAAGTCTGTTCTTTTTTATATCTCAAAATAAAATTTATGTAGTACACTGTAAAATAAACAAAACCTATTATTTTTCTCAGGAATTTGATTGAGAAATGTAGGCAATGAAGCTTTTTAATTTTTTTTTTTTTTTTTGTGGGGTAGGAGACTGTTTCATAAGCCATTCTTAGATCATTTCTACAGATATTTGATATTCCGTGAAAGCAAGATGCAAACTGAAGACCAGCTACCTGCAAGAAATATGTTTATGTAATAAAGACATGCAACAGTCTTACCATTGTGCTATTGCCTTATTTTGCTTTCTACATATTAATGTACCTCACAGAATTGAGTATTTGCATCAAGATTAGGTAACTGTAGTAAGAGTTAACTTAATTTGAAATAAATACTCTTAAAACTACAAAATTAAAAAAATAGAATTGGTGGGACCAGCACATGGCATAATGGTTGTCACTGGACTCCCACGTAGTCGACCATAGTTCAAGTCCCAGACCCAGTGGCTTAAAAAATACTCATGCTGGTCATGTGTGCATGCACACGTGCCCCAGTTCCCAAGAGGATAATGGAGAAGAAGGGATTGTGGCATAGCCATCCTTCCTGGGGGGTGATTTCTCACTTTCTGTCTTTCTCTGTCTCTCTGGCAAGCACACAGGCCCTAAAGCAAAACATCTCTCTCTAAATTAAAAAAAAATATTTAATATGGTTGGAACCTACAAATACGCTTATTTTACTGCTAATTGTATGCTTACTGTTGTGTCAGGAGAAATGCAAATAACAATAATAAGTTAACCTAAATCTTTACTTTCTCATAGGATTAGTTAGCACCACTAGAAACAATACACGATTGTCTGTGATTACATGTTGCGGCCTGCAGTGCAGAATTCGAAATGATTTGGAAAATGAAGGAGAACAAAATGAATGGAAGCTACAAGGTCCAGAGGAGACCTCATAGAAGAGGCAGAACTTGCACCGAGGAATGATTGGAACTGATTAGTGGGAAAAAGATGGGATGGGTGAGAGTAATAATTGAGGAAAGGCAGAGAGACATGAATTACCAAAGCATGATCTTGCGAAAGGTAAGATATTAAGTGGCCAGACTGTCTGCAAGAGAGGTGATTCTGATTGGATAATTAAGGTGGAAACTAGGAGGCCAGAGAGAGGACTTTGTGAGGTTGGAGCAGGTATATTCTGTGATGAAAGCCAAGTGTAGAGCATGTGTTCCAGCACTGGTGATTTAGGTGGGTTGCAGAGAAGAGGAAGCCATCAGACAAGCCAGCTAAAACATTGCTGAGGAATCTCATGGGGTGGTGATAATGGAAAAGCAGAGGAACTCCAAGCACTTTTTTTTTTTTTTTTTAGTTTTGTTTTGCTATAGGATGCATGTGATCACCGGAGAGAGACAGAGACAAAGAGGGAAAATGAGAAACCGCCCCCTCAGGAGAGAGAGCCACACCACAGGAGAGATAGCTACACCACAATCCCTTCTTGATTCTTTCAGGATTGAGGGCACGCACACACACACACCCCATGTGGTTTTCAAGCTGCCATGTCTAGGAATTGAAAGAGTCAGCCATGTGGGAATCCAGCTGCCTTAACCTCTGGGCCACCTGCCGGCCTTCCAGGCACATTTTTAAGAAAATTGAAATTCGAACACCAATACTCTGTTGGAAGTGATAGGACCTCACTTCAACTTAGATCAAACAACAAAATTCACTGACACTGGTTATTGCTAACCTTTGCTGAGCATATGTAATGCTAATTCTCGTACAATCCTGTGAGGTAGGTACTAATATTATCTTCCATTTTACAGATGAGACACGTGAAGCACAGAAAGGTTAAGTAGCTTATCCAGGGTGTCCTAGGTAGACAGTGGTAGAGTCAGGATTTTGAAATTTGACTTATTTAACTGGCAAGTCTAGGGTCTAGGGTTGGGATAGACTTTGAACATGGTTAACTCCAGGGACTCAAACATTGTCATCAACACTCTGTCTTCTCTTATTGGCACTGATGCTGTCTTTGTCTCATTCTACTCTAAATAGACTTCCTGCATATAGCTGAGAAGATGTCTACTGGTAGTTGCAAATTCACATAGTCCTAGACTAGCAACCTTAGTGGAGAGAGAATTTATTATAATACCTAATAATGAATTCCAAGAAGAGAACAACCCCAATTGGGCCCACTGGTTACATAAAAGCTACCCTGTGACCAATAATATTTGCCAGGGGGATGAGGTACTGGGGACTGGGTCACTTCTTATTTCTCTGTGGGAGGTGGGGCACACTATGACAGCATAAGCTCTAATAGATGGGTAGGTCCCCAAGGGAAGGGTGTTGGACACATGGGAACAAAACAGGCTCACTAGGGATGGACTCAGCCCTGTAGTGAGAGGTGAATCCATACAACTATGTGCAGAAGCTAAAAGTTTAATGAGAAGGAATGGTCAGAATATACCAAATACGGGACCAGCAGTTGGTGTAACAGCTATGTTGCTGGACTCCCATGTAGTCAACTGTGGTTCGAGTCCTGGACCCTGTGGCTTAAACTCACCCTGGGTTTTTGTGCGTGCTTGCCCAAGATCCAGAGAGAAGAATGGAGGAAAAGGGATTGCAGCATGACCATTCCACCTAGGGGGTGATTTCTCACTTTCTATCTCTCTGTCTCTCTCTGTCTTTCTGGCGAGAGCACGTACCCTATAGCAAAAAATTCTCAAAAATAATATATATATATATATTATATTTGGTTCAAACTCATACTGGGCACGTGTGTGTGTATGCCCAAAATCCTGAGAGAAGAATGGAGGAGAAGGGATTGCGGTGTGGTCATCTTCCCCTAAGGTGATTTCTCATTTTCTCTCTCTCTGGTGAGTGCACACACCCTGTAGCAAAAATCTCTCTCTTAAACAAAAGAAATCTACCAACATATGTGATCTCAGTGACTGGGAGAATGAAGTTTTTTTCTTTTTCTTTTCTTTTCTTTTTTTTTTTTTTTTAGAGTTTTTTTGCTATATGTTTTTTTGCTATATGGTGCGTGCACTCACCAGAGAGACAGAAAGTGAGAAATCACCCCCCGGGGAGCTGGTCACACCACAGTCTCTTCTCCTTCAGTCACCTCTTGGGATTTGGGGCACTCATGCACACGCGCCTGGTGTGAGTTTTAAGCTGTTGGCTCCAGGACCCTAATTGTGGTTGACTATATAGGAGTCCAGGGACATAACCATTACGCCATCTGCTGGTCCCAGAAGATGCATTATTAACAAAAATTGAGTTGGGTGAGCAGGCTAGTTTGAGGGTACTTCATTGGCCATAGTGAATTTGAAGTGGCAAGAGTGAGACTGTAGCAAGGTGAGGATTTAGTTCTGGAACCCAGGTACAGGTTCAGGAGTGCAGGGAGAGACTTGAGAATTAAGGGTCAAGGTTGATTTTCCTCTCCATTTTGATTTGTATAGATAATCCTAGTTCTGTCTCTCTTGTCACTGTTAAATTGAAGTTTAAATTATCTGGCACTTAAAAAACACAATCAACATAAAATGTACAGACTTTGGAAAGCTGAGGATGAGAAACTGAAGCAGCCTTTTGGGGAAAGCAATCTGGGAAATTCAAATAGGTTGGATAGAATTTGTTTTGAGAGGTAGAAAGAAATCTTTAAAATCTGCAGAAGTTGAAATAGTTACTTAATTTGTCATTATAATTTGTTTAATGTCTTCTTGGAGAGCATCGAATGAAGTTTCGAATGCTTGAAATTGGTAACTATCTTCTAGAAAAGGTATTCTCATGTGGTTATTTAGTTATTTTGGAAAATTGAAGGAATAGCATTTTCCTTTCAATTCAAAATAGCCAACCACTTTGTAACAACTATATATATGTGTGTAGTTCTCTCTTATTTGGGTCATAAGTCTTAAAATTCAGAATCATAGGGGTTGGCAGGTGGTATGGTGGTTAAGGACACTGGACTCCCACATGGCTGACCATGGTTTGAGTCCCAGACCTGGTGGCTTGCTTTCTCTTTCTCTCTCTCTCTTTCTCTCTCTTACTCTGTCCCTCTGTGGTCAAATTAAAAAAAAAAAAGTAAAATAAAACCAAAAAAAATCAAAATGATAGGTTTGGTTTCTTTTGAGCCAGAATCACAGTGAAAATAATCTTTCTTGGCCACAAACTGAATTTCAGTTAATCATCTCAATAATGAGTGCATTGGCTATAGGGGATGGAAATGAGAAATTAGAAATGCCATGAAAATTTATAGTGGCTCTTATTCCAGTCACTATGCTAGACATTAGGGATTACTAAAACAAAGCAAAATAAGAATGAAATCTCTTTTTATTCTCTTTTTTTTTTTTTTTGAGAGGTTTTTGCTATAGGGCACGTGCGTTTGCCAGACAGACAGAGAGAGACAGAGAGACAGAAAGCGAGAAATCACCCCCCAGGGGGGATGGTCATGCCACAATGCCTTCTCCATTCTCCTCTCGGGATCTTGGGCACGCACGCACACACGCCCGGTGTGAGTTTTAAGCCACCGGGTCCGGGATGCGCACCACGGTCGCCTACGTGGGAGTCCAGCGACATAGCCATTACGCTAACTGCTGGTTCCCAAGAATGAAATCTGATTCTAGTCCTCAAAAAGAAACAATTTGCACAATTAAAAAAATGTTTTATTTTGGTGGGGAAGAGGGTACCAGGGGAGAGAAAGAAAGAGAGAGGATGAGAAATCATCCCCCAGGAAAATGGCCACACCATAATCCTGTCTCCTCCATTCTCCTCTCGGAATGTTGGGCGCACACACACACATATGCCCTGCGTGACTTTCAAGACCAAGTCCCTGAGTCTGGGACTCAAACTGTAGAGACAGCCATGTGGGACCCAGTGTCTTAACCTCCTCACTCCCTGCTGGCCCTTTTATTAAATATTATAAACCTTTGGGTAAATGATCTAGGGATACAGATTCAAAAATGAGTTGTTGCTGGGGGGACCTGGACACCTT